CTCTGGGGCAGGGGTGTGGTGTGACTCTCGTTTATGACCTGCAGGGCGGTTCTTCCTGAGAGTGTGGCTGTCGGAGGGCAGAAGGAATTCACCATCACCATTTTTTTTAAAGATTTACTTATTTATTTGAAAGTCAAAGTTACACACACACACACACACACACACACACACACAGAGGGAGAAAGAGAGAGAGAGAGAGAGGTCTTCCATCCTCTGGTTCACTCCCCAGTTGGCCACAACAGCCATAGCTGCATCCATCAGAAGCCAGGAGCCAGGAGCTTCTTCCCTGTCTCCCAAGCAGGTGCAGGGGTCCAAGGACTTGAGCCATCCTCTACTGCTTTCCCAGGCCACAGCAGAGAGCTGGATCAGAAGTAGAGCAGCCAGGTCTTGAACTGGCACCCATGTAGGATGCTGGCACTGCAGGCGGCAGCTTTACCTGCTACATCACAGTGCCGGCCCCATCACCATTTTTCATCCTGGCATCCACCGTGTGCCCTGTGAGCTCCAGGCAGCCCCCATCCTCCAGAAGCTTTCCCTCCCATTAGCCCCTTACTCCCTAAGCAGATTACCATTTTTTCTGCATTTATGTGCTGGCTTCTGCGAGCAGACAGTGAAAGCAAACACCTGTCCTGCCACAGGTGGAGCTGACGGGGATGGGGAGGGGTCTTTCATCTTCTTTCAGCTTAGGCTCTCCACTCCCAGTGTGGCACAGGAGTCTACACTCATCTTGGTGGGTCACCCTGGTGATGGTTGGACATATGGATGGACAGGAAAGTAGGTAGCAAACCAGTACTTAAGGAAGTGAACTATTAACATAGTTAAAAACTGACAGCACATCAAAGACTACTGTTTTCAGGGAAGACTAAAAATACACCACTGGCAGAAAAATGATTATTAGTCTCAGGCAGAGATTAAATGTGATATATTTAGAAAATGGCAAAATGCTTTTTAGCTAAAAGTAGTAGAGAACCCCACAACCACCCTTGTTTCTCAACTTTTCTTTCCTACAGTCTCAGCTGTGAGGCCTGAACCCTAGTCTATTCTGTGACATTGAACGGGTACCAAGCAGAGTCCCAACGAAGGGCGCTGGTGTCACAAGACAGCAAAGCTGCTGCCTGCTGTGTTGGTCCCCAAAAGTGATGCTCTCTGGAGAGCCTCTGTCTTAGCTCAGAACCTGGGTGGATGGCAGCCCCAGGAATAGAAATGGGAATTGAGTACACCATTGTTGGATAGAACTCTGGAATTTTGAGGACTGAGTAAAATATAATAATGATACCTATATCAAAGTCAGAGCCAAGAATAGGATGTCACTGATCCCTTCTGTATTGTCCATTTACCACTGAGAGTAATTTCTGACCTCATGATGATAGTGATGATGATGGTGATGACAATGGCAGTGATAATAATATTTAAAGGTAGCAGGTCCAAGTAGCCATCCCACCCAAGAATAAACCTGACAGCTAAAAACACGTGACTCTGTTGGTGCTTAAAGACACCTGCCAGCTCAGAGGTGACCTCCTTTAGCATAGATGGCAATGAGCTTTCATTCACTGAGCTGGAAGTAAGTTTCCTTATTTTCTTTAGGTTTCTGAAAGAAATGCCTTCTGTTTTACCAGTAGCAAGCACCTGATACCTTAGCACATTTAATGAAAGCACTGGAGTGTTTTGTAAACTCACCAGCCACAACAGTACAAAAGCAAAAAAATTGAGGTGGGAAAAAAAATCCACCTTAGACCTTAGGTTGTTTCCTAAGATCACCAACAAACCACTCAGCTTTTACGTTTGTTTTGTTGGCAGATTTGAGAATGTTGAGATGTACTACATATTAAGATTGACTTGCCTACAATATGCTAGCGATTTTTCTAGAAGACTATGGAAACAGTTTCAAAGAAGGGATAATTTCACGTTCTGCCATCCCGTTCAGTCACAATAATTTAACTTGTGTCATGTGTGAAGTCACATCTCAATCTCTGATGACTTGTTAAAAGGAAGAAGTTGTAATTAAAATTAGTGTGGTTCCTGTTACATTAGCAATCAGAAGCATTGAGATCAATTAACCACTTTTCTCCTTAAAAGATGAGGCTCTTGAGTATTCACAAGCCCATAACCCTCCCAGGTTGCAGTGTGTCAGGTTCTGAAGAGGTTGCTGTTGGCTGATTTGTTTTGTATGTTGCACTCTGATATTTTAGAGGAGAAAACAACAAACAGGGAAGAGAGAGCACTTGAAATATTCAAGGTGATTGATGATCACTGTGGCCGGTGTCCATGGCTGACCTGCCTGTGCGAAGGGAAGGATGCACCCTTGGGGTGTGGGTCCATGGTCAACCACAAGGTTCTCCAGCTGCCTGTGGATTCCAGGTCTCTCCCAGCCTTGCACACAGCAATGGGGTCCCAGGAAGACACCTGCTCCCCATGAGTCTTTGATTATGATGCATGGCTTTCCTAGGATGGATGGATGGTGGGTGGATAGGGGTCTTTCTTGCCTTCCCGCCTTCCAGCTTCAGCCTTAAAGTTGCCTCTTCTTGACCCTCCCCATCCCTTTCCGGAACCCCAGGCAGAACTCCTGGTGCCACAGCACCTCATATTTGTGTGGTGGCAGCCAGACCTCAGAGGGCTTTTGTGGGCCAGGGTAAGGAGTAAGGACTTTCTTCTTACTGTGATGGAGAGCAGTTAGGAGAGGAGGAGGGCCAGCGCAGGTCAGGAGCTGGCTCACATTTGCAAAGATCATTCTGGCCACAGTGTGGGGAAGGATGAGAAGAAGCAAGACTTCCCATGAGAAGATAAGGGGTGATGGTGGCTTGGGCTAGACTTGTAGCCATGGAGGTGGTGTGAATTCACTTTGGAGGAATATGTTGGAGGGGACCTGATAGTGTTCTGGTGCAGGAGAGGTAGTCAGGGTTTCGACTTGAACTTGATGTTGAAGAACAGGGTCACTAGAGCAACCACCTGAAAGAGGGGAAGGGACACTGGGGCAGTTCAGAGGTTGCTAGGTAAAGAGATTTCTTAATCTGTATTTTTGGGGTGGTACCACTATGGACTCATGCAGATTCGTTGATTTATTGCTTTGTAGCCAATTACAGTTATTTTTCTTTTTGATAATCAAGTTGTCCCAGAACTTTGGTCAGGAGGAGCCCCTCCAAGCTGGCTGCATGTTCTGCTGCCCTGCTCACCATCAACCTCAGGGAATTTCTAGCACAAGGTACCTCAGACCAGCCTTGCACTTTCCTTTTACCACATCTGGAATGAGCTGTTTATCCAAGGAGTCTCCGTTGTTGTTAGTGAGAAAAGGTATAAAGAAAACAGGAACTTAAGCCGGCGCCGTGGCTCAATAGGCTAATCCTCCACCTTGCGGCGCCGGCACACCGGGTTCTAGTCCCGGTCGGGGCGCCGGATTCTGTCCCGGTTGCCCCTCTTCCAGGCCAGCTCTCTGCTATGGCCAGGGAGTGCAGTGGAGGATGGCCCAAGTGCTTGGGCCCTGCACCCCATGGGAGACCAGGAAAAGCACCTGGCTCCTGGCTCCTGCCATCGGATCAGCGCGGTGCGCCGGCTGCAGCGGCGGCCATTGGAGGGTGAACCAACGGCAAAGGAAGACCTTTCTCTCTGTCTCTCTCTCACTGTCCACTCTGCCTGTCAAAAAAAAAAAAAAAGAAAAAAAAGAAAACAGGAACTGGATGTTTGGCGTATTCATTGCCACTGGGGTATCATTGCTTCCAGACCCTTCCAGAGACAAGAATGGCAAAGCGGCTTTCTGCTTGTGTAATCCTGAATTCGTAGTGATGTATGCAATTCAAATTTAATACAGCAGGCCTTCTCTTAACTATCTAGTTCTATATATGTCATTTTTGTGTTGAATGAAAATTTTGGAACCTAATAAAATTAACATACCTCTTTACTAAATATATAAAATCATTTCCAAAATCGCAATACTAATATCATTACTTGCAAAAAACCTCCAGGTAAAGCCATTCTTTTTTTTTTTTTTTTTTTTTTTTTTTTTTTTTTTGACAGGCAGAGTGGACAGTGAGAGAGAGAGAGAGAGAAAGGTCTTCCTTTACCATTGGTTCACCCTCCAACCGGCACACCGCGCTGATCCGATGGCAGGAGCCAGGTACTCATCCTGGTCTCCCATGGGGTGCAGGGCCCAAGCACTTGGGCCATCCTCCACTGCACTCCCGGGCCACAGCAGAGAGCTGGCCTGGAAGAGGGGCAACCGGGACAGAATCCGGCGCCCCGACTGGGACTAGAACCCGGTGTGCCGGCGCCGCAAGGCGGAGGATTAGCCTAGTGAGCCGCGGCGCCGGCCTCAAGTAAAGCCATTCTAAAAGAAATATAGGAGTCACCAGGTTATTGTAAGTTTGTCTTTCATCTGGATTGATTAGCTTATTTCCCATGAGACATTTTCAAAGAGTAACCCCCTTTAAGAAAAATAAAAAGCAACTGCCTCAACTCTCTAAACAGGTATAGAAGAAACGTTAGAAGCTGAAAAGAATTTGGCAGTATCATCTATTAATCTTTTTCCAAGCATGAAACTTTGCACTGAGAACCATATAAATAGTGCAAATAACTTAAATGTCTGTTTTTTCTTTTAATACTTAAAATGGCAAACCACAAGCAATTCCATCTCTGTGCTCACTTTTGATGTACTCCTCTCTAGATGAAGCTGCTGTCAGGTTTGGTTTGATTTTGTTTTTAATTTATTTGGGAGGCAGAGAGACAGACAGACAGACAGATCTTCTATCTGCTGGTTCGCTTCCCAAATGCCTGCAACAGCTAGGACTGGGCCAGGCCAAAGTCAGGAGCCAGGAATTCAATCCAGGTTTTGCACAAGGGTGGCAGAGACCCAGCTACTTGAACCATCAGCACTGCTTCCCAGAAAGCTGGCTGGAGCCAGGGGCCGCCTCCTGGACACAGGCTTTCCAGCTGCCTGCTCCCTGTTGTGCTATGTGTGCTGAGCATTTTTTCACAAGTGACTGGATTTTTGTTGTTGTTGTTGTTTATAGGCTACCCAAAGCAGAGAGCAGCAGCTCCTCGGAACGGATTTGCACCCAAGCCTGACCTGCAGGCGCGCGAGGCTGAGAGGCAGCTGGTGCAGCGGCTGAAAGACAGGTGCGAGCGGCAGGCCCGGCTGCTCGGCCTCGCCCGTGCGGAGCTGAGAAGGGCCGTCTGCGGCTTCGACGCCCTTGCCGTGTCCACGCGGCATTTCTTTGGAAAGGTGAGGCCCCATTGGAAGACTGTGGAAGGGCTCACGTTCAGGGGATGGGCAGGCGGGGGGAGGTGATGGTGGCAGGCTGCGGGTGTTTTCGCATGGTTTGGGGGTTAGACTTGAGTTTTGATTGTCAGAAGGTCATGGCAGCATCCAGTCATGTTTGGGGAGCCAGATTTATCCTTAGGTGGCAAAAAATATATTGGTTCAGGAAGACTGATGAATAAGCTTGATTGCAAAAACGCAAAGGTGTGAAGGAAGAAAGAAAAAGATACAGGTGAACATTTCTGAAGGAAGTGGAGCAGGTGAGATGAGTGGGTCCTCAAGTGTCTGCTCGCTTCTGCTCCGTCTCAGTTCTGTTCCCCTTGGGAATGCAATACACAGGCCGAGTGGTTGTAGGGGGACGGGTGTCTCATCAGGTCCCTGATCACGGTGTCACAGCATGAGGCAAGGTGGGGGTCCTGCCTGCACCCTCAGTTGTGATGACAACACAGGGATCACTGGTTTCTTCTCAGCAAGTGTCCGGGGGGCTCTTGGGACCACCCAGCCTCTGTGTGTTTATTAGCAGGAAGGCAGTTCAGCTTCCCAGCTCCTGGACAGCGAAGGGGGAGGCTGGTGGCCGCCTGGTGTCTGGCTGCCACTGTGTGCCACCTTGAAGTGGCCACAACCCAGCCTCCTTGCAGGAGGAAATGAGCATGGACTCGGGGATCTGGACCTTGTGAATGGGCTTTCTGCGTCTCAGAGATGCCCCCCTGCTGTCTCTGAATGGGAGGAGATAGAAATGCTCTCCACATAAGAAAGTGGATGGACTGAAGTTCTGGCTAAGTTAAAGAAGAAACGCAGGAGACTTCAGTGTAAGTAGCGTCACGCGTGCTGGTGCCTGCTTCATTTACCCTCTGAGCCTTAAAAGGTGGAGCACCTGGCCCTTGGGATGACCCGGACCCTCCCTGAGCTGTTCTTTCTTTATTCTTCTTTTCTTTTCTACTTACAGCTTTTAGCAGAAGAGCCATTTATCAATTGCTTCCTGTTGTAAGGAAAGACAAGATAAATGGCTAGCACCAAAAATTCAGTTCAACCGATCATTTCAGCCTCTCCCCAACCAAAATTGTGGCTCTAGCCATACATGAATACTCTCATTTTCTCTCTAGCATAGTAATGTTGGTGTCAACCTTGAGCCACTGAGGTGGCTGCAGCTCCAACCCTGTGCGAATTAAAATTAGAGACACTCTGAGGTGCCACAGAGATTTTCCAGGATAAATACAGTTAGTTCAGATGGTTTGGGAAAAGGGAATTAGAAGATAAGTTTATTTGGATGCATAAATAGAAAGACTCACACACTTGATGTTAAGGAAACACTCTCCCTTGAGGATCACTGAGCACCTGTTGCTGGCTCGGATGGGCAAAACACCCCACACATATTGCGCATATCACAGTAAGCGGTGCCCATGAACTTCTGGAAATGGGCTCTTATTGAGCATTGTATTAGAGAAGCCACAGAGTGGGGTTTTCTTTAAAGATTTATTTTATTTATTTGAAAGAGTTGCAGAGAGAGGTAGAGACAGAGAGAGAGGTCTTTCATCCCTTGGTTCACTCCCCCAGATGGTCTCAATGGCTGGAGCTGTGCCTATCCAAAGGCAGGAGCCAGGAGCTTCTTCTGCTTTCCCAGGCCATAGCAGAGGCTGGATCGCAAGAAAAGCAGCCGGGACTAGAACTGGCACCTACGTGTGATGCCGGAGCTTCAGACAAGGGCTTTAACCCGCTGTACCACAGTGCCGGCCCCAAGCAGTGTGGGTTTTTTTTTCCTTCAGCTGGATGTATGTTTTCCACTATCACGCTGTTAATAAAGAGAAGAGAACAGCATGGTTCCTTCAAGTCAGTGCTCACATTGTTTCTCTGCCCACTCTGAGATTCCTTCTTTGCATCAACCAGAGCCATCCAAAGCCTTGAGAAAGGTTCTTTGGGGATCAGTAGCCACTGGTACAGTGTGTGGATGGTGTGCACCCTGTTTCACCAGCTGGAGCCTGGCAGGGGGGAAAGTCACTGTGTAAAGATGAGGGTCAGTTCCCCACAGCTCAGCATTTCTGTGCCCCAGGAAAATTCCTTGTTGGCCCATGGACCATGTGTGAATTCTGTTGCTCTGTAGCCTGCACAGGACTCTGAATCAGAGACCCCAGTGGGCTGGCAGGTGATCTCTAGACTCCTCCATGGGACCCCCTGCCAGCTGGGCTGCACATGGCATTGTGCCGTGACGTGAATTCCATTTTCTTCCCAGTGAAGCACAACCCATCGCTCCAGACAGGTCTCTGAAGGGATCGGACACTTTGCCTCCCACACAGTGTGTTTTCTGTCTTTCTGATCTCTCCAGATAAGCTCTTGGAAAGCGAGGCATGGGTATGTTTGTTTATTTAAGTCTCCCATGGAGCCTCGCCAGAGGCTTTGGGGCAGGTGGTCGTGTGTTCCCTGTGGATTAGATGTGGAGGTCTGACATGGAGGGGTTGAGGCAGAGCAGCCTCGACACCTGCAGTGATGGGGCCTGGGTACCTGAGGCACCCAACGCCCTCCATGGGTAACCCATGCACTATCACTGTGCATGGGATATGGTCACAGCATGCCGGCTATGAAACAGTACAGCCTGTCTAACCAGCCTGCAAATGCAGCCTATTTATGCCCCACTGCTTAGACGGCCCTGCCAACCCTCCACCCTGTGAGGAACACATGTGTATCTTTTGTACCCTATGACGTGTTCCTTGCAAACTGTGATAGAACGGAGTGAGGGCACACTGCCAGCCAGGAGTCAGACCCATCTCTGCTCCACCCGGCAAGTCCCGGTGCCTCCATGATCGCCATTCTCATCACCAGCTTCGACACCAGCATTCCATATCCTTGCTCCCCATTCAAGTCCTGGCTGTTCCACTTCTGATCCAGCTGCCTGCTGATGCGCCAGGGAAAGCAGCTGAAGATGGCCCCAGTGCGTGGGCCCCTGCCACCTATATGGGAGACCCGGTTGGAGTTCCAGACTCCTGGCCCCAGCTATTGTGGGCATCTGGGGGGATGAACCAGTGGATGGAAGACACCTCTCTCTCTCTCTCTCTCTCTCTCTCTCTCCCCCCTCGCTACCCCGTCACCCTGCCTTTCAAACAAATAAAATAAATCTTTAAAAGAAAAAAAATGAGGAGCCCAGATAGGAATCGTCCATTTCTGTCCACGCTGACCGCTCGGGCAGAGCTGCTGGGCAGTTGTTGGCTCTGACACAGCGCAGCGTCTGGGGATTTGTTGTGCCGACAGCAGCCTCTCACTGGTGCTCATTCCAGGAAGATCTGTCCCTGCAGCCAGGATGCCCCTCAAAGGCCGGCCAGCTCTGCTGAAATCTGCTGCCCCAGACCTTGGGGTGCTGTGGCAATGAGGGTGGTGCTCAGGAACTCTGACTTCTCAGGGTCAAGTTGAATGTTTTAAGTCTTGTTCTTGCTGTCAAGTTCCTGGGAACGCTGCTCTTTAGCAGCCCCTGGTGGCCGATCCGTGGAACAATCTACATGGTCTTCCTTTTGAGGGCGTATCTGCATTCATTTTACTTTTCAAAAGATTCATGCTTACCCAATATTTTTCATATTGGTTTTGTCATTCTGTCATTAACTCTATAAATGTGAGGGCAGATGATGGTCTTAAATGGTTTTTCATTTATTGGTGTGATATGAAAGACATGAGAACTAATAGGTCAAGTATTTAAAACTTTTTGAGCTGTTTAATCACAAAATTAACAAATCCTGAACCTCTTTCTTGCCAAAGAATACATATTTAATGCTTTTACTATTTAACTTTTTATTACAAAAAAGTTTTACATACAGAAAAATGGAAAGATTAGCACCCAAATACCCATCATCTGGTTTTCACAGATGTGCATGTCCTGCTATATTTGCCTTATCTCTGTGTTGTAATTGTTGCCAGGGTATTTATTTTTAGTATATTTTATATATCTCAACTCGTGTTCACTTTTATCTTGAGGAAGCCTCATGGTGCCATTTGAAAGGATCCAAGACACTAAAAAGCAGAGCTCTTAAATAACAACAGAGCTCCTGTGTATCGCCCACCTACCATGCCCTTGGCACTTTGCATGCATTTTTTAAAAATATTTATTTAAAAGACAGATTTGCAGAGAGGCAGAGGCAGAGAGAAAGAGATGTCTTCCATCTGCTGGTTCACTCCCCAGATGGCCACAACGGCTGGAGCTACACCGATTTGAAGCCACGAGCCAGGAACTTCTGAGTCTCCCACGTGGGTGCAGGGGCCCAAAGACTTGGGCCATCTTCTACTGCTTTCCCAGGCCATAGCAGAGAGCTGGATTGGAAGTGGAGCAGCCGGGACTCGAACCGGCGCCCATATGGGATGCTGGCACTGTAGGTGACAGCTTTAGTCACTATGCCACAGCTCCTGCCACTTTGCATGCATTTTTTAAACCCTCACAGCAACCCTGACAGGTGCAGAGAATATTCTCATATGACAATTGAGGAAACTGAGCCTCGGGAGATCAGGCAGGCTTTTGAAGACAATCTCATTAAAAAGTGCTGGTGTCAAGACACCAGTGCATGTCTGCCCACACCCAACCCCCGCATTTTTCCAACTCCTCCTCTCCCTTCAACTCTCCAGGTGTTTTTGATGTAGGTAAGGTAGCGGTGTGGGGAAGGGACGTATTTGCAAAGCAAGAGAAACAATCATCCAAAAGTTTAACAGAGCATAAGGACAAGAGATAGTCCAGGGGATGTCTAACCTGTTGCCACAATGCTTTGTGGTCAGGGGGAAGCCTGATTTGTTGCAAATGGGACAGAGACTTGGAGGAGCCAGAATGGAGAGAGAGGCAGGACTTGGGGTGAATAGAGAGGAAGCAAGAGCATTGTGTGGGAAGGGAAGCCCCGGAGCCTGCATCTGCATAGGGCGCCCCCTGATCGTTGTGCTGAAATGATGTGTGTGTCCCAAAAGCAGTGCCCCACAGAGCCTGCTCCAAGTACTGTGCCTGC